CTTGACATTCCGCCAACACGATCGGTTTGCATCTTCGGAAGCTGTGCATTCTTGCAATCTACGATTCAAAATAGAAGACCTAATAGCCCAAAAACAGTTGGTACTCCAATACGTATATGTATGTAGTTTGATTAGGCTAGAAAATTGAGTCCTTAAAGCTTCTGGTGCACTGCTGTGCTTGTCCGTTTTATTATAATAATAAAAATAATATAATAATAATTTATTTGCCAAATACAATTATGCAAATATAAATTTCAATGACTGTTGCCACAAAGGAGTATCCATGACAAATAAAAGTAATGTTACGAATTAAAAATCTTGTGTGTGTGTGTGTGTTATAACGTACCATCAAGAAACTTATATGATTGGCAGAAACCAAATGAAATTGGCAACACAAAACCCTGTGCTGGAATCGTTCGAGTAGGATCGGTACTAGCTTTTGTTCGAATTATGTCTCTCGTTGTACAATTAAATATACATATGTTCTGAACATGTTTCTGGTGCAAAGCTGTTATGTGTTTTAGAAATTCCGATGTGTATCTATTAAAAAATGCCCACTATGCGATTTGCTAAAGCTCGTTGCCAGTTGATTAGTTTTGTGAGCATGTTGATTGCCTGTCAACACGCAACTCCATACTGTCTCTACAATCTACTTCACATGTTAGAGTCATCAAGCTTGTTCCACGAAGTTTCAAATTAATCCTCCCTTCTACAAAATTGCTAATCAGTTAAAAAGGTGGTCGGTAAAATCGAGCTCTCGTGTATGTACGGCATCAACTGTTTAACCCTAATCGTAGCTCTCGCGGGATCCAAAAGCGGCAGCTAACAAAAGCTCTTCTGTTACTCTGTTAGATTGAATGTACGAGAGGACAGAGGGTGTTCTCTCACCCTTCCTCTTTCCTCTGTGTTCTGTGTTCTTGCTTTGCCTGCCAATCCTCTAATGGCAGGTAAACCGTACTCGCGACATATGTTTAGAGGCTGTTTACATGCAACTTGGGTTCAAAGAAGTCGAATATTGCAACTAGATGGTTTTTAAATAAGGCTGCAAAATGAATATCAGGCTAATACCAGTCCCTTCCCACTTCAGTTGGCCCAACTATTGAAATCTTAGTTCTTTTCTTATCAAACACAAATAATAAAAATGTAGCAGGGTGGCAGCAGCGGTGGCCGCAGTAGTAGACTCTTCGGTCTCCTGATCAGTCGCCGTGCGCTGTGCGGGTTCGAGTCCCGTCCCAGGAGAAATTTTTCTCTTGGCTATGGATGTTGTGATTGTCCGTAGGTGGTAAATGGTCTCTGACTGTCGAACGCGGAGGTACCACCCAGCGGATCTCGTAGGCGGAGCCAGAATGTGTGCATATTGCATGCACACGTGTCCCCTCGCCAGAGTCCGTGTGGCGTTCCCCCTTTCCCATGTATCCCCCTATAGCCCGACGGTACCCAATGGGTGCTTAGGCCTTAGGCCTTCGTGGTAGTTGGAGTATAAAAAAAAGGGTGTTATAGGTTTAAAATATTAACAATGAATATTTTGATAATATATAGTAGAAAACACCAACTTTATCACTCCCTAATCAAATTTGCAGCATAAAAATAACACATGTTGCAATTACAGCATATCAACCTATTTTCATTTCAATGCAAAATAAGTCTATAACGCATAGGTGGCTGTGAAAAATAAAAGCCATGACAATTGTTTTTATTAATCACAGCTGTCAGAATACGTTCAAAATAGTTTTGGGTAGTTAAGGTTTTCGAAATGGGTAGAGGAAAGGTTATTAGTGAGAAAATTCGGTTACTGATAATTAAATTTTTTAATTCTGGGAAATCAAACTCAGAAATTGCAACTTTGTTAGACTTATCGCGGTACAGTGTGAGAAATATTTTTAGAAGATATAACTTAACTAGTCAGTTAATATTAAGCCACGATATGTGAAAAAAAGTAATATCACAAATGCCGACCGAAGAACATTAAGAAGAATAATCGTGAAAAACAGGCGTGTCAATTATTTACAATTAAGTGCTCTGTGGAGTGACGCTGTTGGAAGGAGAATTTGGAGGTCCGGCCTATGAGAAAATGCTTTCTTCGCAGAAACTAAGGGATAACATTTTAACAAAGGTAAACAAAACAGATAAAACGTTAATATGGTTTCCACAGCATGCTTTAATTATACTCATTATGTTGCCAAAAAACGAATTAATGAAATTAGTTTTTTCTGGGTGGAACACTCCTAGTGTCACTGAAAGACACGTACTGAAAAATGTAAGGCATTTCAGTTAAATGTGAGAAGTGAAGTAATCCAAGGAAATAAGCGAAAACAACTCCTGTCTCTTGCAGAGACAGTAAGCCAATAGTTATTTGGGACATTACACGTTATATAGTAACAATTTCTAAATACTATCTGCAGGTAAAACTATTGAGTTTTTATGTTCTCAGCAACTAAATTTCCAAAATTGCATTTCTTCATTGTTTTCACGTAGACAACACTGTATGTTTATGAAAAATTAAGGTGATCATCTTGTAGTATACTGAACATCCTTGAAAATGGTGCTTAGAACTAATTGATCGGTTAACACGTTGTTAAGAAATCAAATTGATGAAATTAGTTTTTTCTGGGTGGAACACTCCTAGTGTCACTGAGTACGTTTCATGTCAACTTTGGTAAGACAGTTGAACACTGGTCAGCTGCCGTTTCAATACAAGCCTTTATTCTGTGGGGGTGCTGGATTCCCTGAAGACACGTACTGAAAAATGTAAGGCCTTTCAGTTAAATGTGAGAAGTGAAGTATACCAAGGAAATAAGCGAAAACAACTCCTGTCTCTTGCAGAGACAGTAAGCCAATAGTTATTTGGGACATTACACGTTATATAGTAACAATTTCTAAATACTATCTGCAGGTAAAACCATTGAGTTTTTATGTTTTCAGCAACTAAATTTCCAAAATTGCATTTCTTCATTGTTTTCACGTAGACAACACTGTATGTTTATGAAAAATTAATGTGATCATCTTGTAGTATACTGAACATCCTTGAAAATGGTGCTTAGAACTAATTGATCGGTTAACACGTTGTTAAGAAATCTGCTGAGGAAGGTTGAAATTTACTTATTATCAAGTAGTGCCAGTCAATGTGATTCCCGACATAAATAATTTAACTCAGAATCTCCTAGCTTACATTGCACAATTATACAGAATCAAAACGGTGCTGATACTGAAATCGTTATTTTTGACATTGAAGTGGTATGCTATTACGAACTTTATACTTTATTAACCACTTAGAAATATACAGGCTGTTTCAGAACTATGGGATCCAACTTGTAGGGGTTATTCAGGGTAACAGTAGAAAAAATTTGAGTATAGGGACCCATATCCGGCTACGGCTACGGCCCTAAGACGGTTTAAAACTTAAAAAAACGATAAATTGCCTAAATAGGATTTACTTCATTTAATATTTGCCTTTTGTACATATCGTCACAACAATTGTTCAAAATGTCTTCCTCCAACCTGAGTACACCGTTCCTGTAGGGACATTTAAAGTCTTTGGTTTACGAAACTCCAGTAGAAACAGGGTAAGACTTAATTGGACGAATTACAGCAGCATTTGAAATAATTCAAAACGAGTATCAAATTTTTAGTCCGCCGAAATCAAGTGCGACGTTTAAATCGGTGTATTCAGGCTGGAGGAAGCCATTTTGAACAATTGTTGTGATGATATCATGTACAAAAGCCAAAAATTAAATGCATTAAATCCTGTTTAGGCAACTCATCGTCTTTCTAAATTTTAACGCGTCTTAGGGCCGTAGTGCCGTAGTGACACTTTTACGGATATGGGTCCCAATACTCAAATGTTTTCTACTGTTACACTGAATAACCCCTAGAAGTTTGATCCTTTAGTTCTGAAACGCCCTGTATATGTGGTAAAAAATATAAATAAGCTATATAATACAAATAAAATACATAACAATATAAATAAAGATCATTATAAATATAACAATACATGTAAATGTTCAGTTCCATATGTTATAAAATGAGTTTGGTGTTAATAATTTTTAAGTTGATGTTCAGATAGAAAATAATCGCTGATTTGCTGTATTTAAACTGGTAATTTATTGTATAATTTGATGCACTTATAGTAGGGTGATTTTTTCAAATGTGTTGTGGTATGTGTATGGATGATTTTTAAATTTTGACTTCTAGTATTGTTATTATGATGATCATTTGGAACATGCTATTGTACACTATTTCTTAACGTAAGTTTCACATTTCAAAATGTAAATACAACGCAAAGTAAGAATCTCTCGTGATTTAAAACATTTCTCTGCACGAGTCTGACGATCCTTTTTTTGTCAAGAAATACTCTATCAGTTTCGGAGGATTTCCCCCATACCACACGACGTATGGCTATAAGCCAGCGCCTAATATAACACATTCATATGAGCTTTGTCATTTAGGCCATTCTGTTATAGAATCCCAAAATATATTTACTTTCTGCATACGTTATCTATGTGTTCATGAAAATTTACCGTACATATTCAGGTCTAGGTCAATTAATTCTTGGAATGTGGTGATTTAAACTTTTTGCAGTTATTGTGGTATAATGGCCTAATCTGGTTACTATATTCAACAGGATCAGTATATTCCAAGTTTAACTCTTGGGGTTATGTCTTCCACGTAAGAGATGACCCCTAATCCTAAAAGAAGAGTCTAATATCCCGCAGCATGTAATGTTTGCTAAAGTATATTACTTTGTATCGTGTCGATGCCTTAAATGAATCATAAAGTATAGATTTTACTTATTCGCTATCGCCAAGTTTGCTACGAGAGATGTCTTTTAAGTTTTGCATATAGAAACATAGTTGGTCGCGCGGATCGAACGTCAGTACTGAATCTTAATCTCACTCTTTAGTAATCTCAAATTCAAAGTTTCACAACAATACGTGTAGTGTTCTCACTACAGTGAATTTTTAAGTATCACCAAGTCATTAGAAAAATGGAACTCAACCTAGAACATTTTCGCGCCATAATTTATTACAACTTTCAGAGACAATTATCGCAACAAGAATGCCTTGCTGAGTTACTGTCTGTTTTCGGTAACGAAGCGCCACATCAGTCGACAATTTGCCGTTGGTATGGAGAATTCAAACGTGGACGGGTTAGTCTTAGCGACGATCCCAGGGTGTGTGCACCAAAAACGGCAGTCACCCAGGAAAACGTCGATGCTGTGCGCAAACTCATCTTTGAAGATATACATGTTACATATCGCGAGATTGAGGCGTCCTTGAAGATCTCAAAGACCTCAATTCAAAAAAATTTACATGCAGAATTAGGAGTAAGAAAATTAGTTTCTCGTTGGATACCCCACCTGTTGACCTAAGAGCAGAAAGCAGCCAGGGTTAATTGGTGTCAAAAAACGCTTGACCGTTTCAATTCCGGAAACTCAAAAAATGTGTACAGCATTGCTGGTGGTGATGAATCGTGTATTTACTGTTATGAACCAGAAAGTAAACGAAGTCGGCTGTTTGGGTGTTCCAAGGTGAAGAAAAGCCAACAAAAGTCATCCGTTCTCGAAGTGTTTCGAAAAAGATGGTGTCAAAAGCGAGTCATATTGCAACAATTCCTCTTAATGAGCAAAGAACTGTTACTGCGGAATGGTATACCACCATTTGTTTGCCAAATGTCATCACCGACCTTCGAAAAATCAACCCCGAAAGAAGAATCATCCTCCACCAAGACAATGCAAGCTCGCACACAGCCCAAAAAACAAGGCAGTATTTAACGGAAGAAAACGTGGAATTATTGGACCCTCCTCCATATAATCCCGATCTAGGTCCTAACGATTTCTTTACTTTCCCGAAAATTAAAAACAGACTGCGTGGTCAAAGGTTCCAGTCACCAGAAGAAGCAGTTGACGCATTCAAAAATGCCGTTTTGGATCTGCCAGCAAACGAGTGGAATAAGTGCTTCGAAGATTGGTTCGAGCGCATCCAGATGTGCATTAATCTTCGTGGAGAATACTTCGAAAAAGAATAAAGTCATTTAAAACTGCCTAGCGTGTTGTTTTATTTCCATATGCAAAACTTAAAAGACATCCCTCGTATAAACAAATTCAAGCAAATGGCAGCTTGCAGTTTATAAATATGTAGAACAGAATCACAAGAATTTTAGCTTTATGCGCTGCTATTAAGTTCTGATCATTCTCATATTATTTTCATGCTTGCATCAGATAGCGAAGTACTAATTGTGGTCGCTAAGTTACTCAAATTTCATGATATTTTGTCATACTACCTCTATGTCTACCGGCGGACGGGATTTTAGTTTCAGAAATCGCTTACCCGATTTCAATGAAATTTGCAGAATGATACTCTGTGAGCTCAAATAATGCTTCATTTTCAATGTCTTTTTTGTGTGGTGAACAACTGTCTGATAATTTTGCAGTCATATAATTTCACTTCCTACACCACTGCGCGAGGAAGTATTGTAATCGCGAAAAATTAAAAAAACGAGATATTGTTCTTTGAATGTTATATTATGAAAAACCATGTCTCATTTCCGTCGGTCTGTGTGTCTGTCAGTTTGTCAGTCCGCTAATCCTTGACCCGTCTATTAAGAACGGAAAAGATTTATAGTTATTGAGAATCGGTCCGGTCGCGGCTGAGAAAAAAGCCAAAAATATAAAGAAATGGCATTGCTTAAACTTCTTTTTTTGACGTTTCAGAGGGTCCTTATCATTTTCAGAAAAAAAATTGTAGAAGTTGAAATTCTGAGGTTTTGGGGTTGCGCGGGTAAACATTTTTTGACCTTAGTTTATTCAAACGCCCCCAGCCATGGTAAACCTATGCACCTAGGTATTAACCATATTTCACACATCATTGATTTCTCAAACTGATAAACGATAAGGAAATGTATAAGATCCGCGTACTCCTGCTATCTAAGCTCACCCGCCCGGCGTACCGGTCCGGCTGACTGATCTATTCGCCCTGCTACATACAACATAAGCGTACACGACGTTGCCAGATGTACAATAGCTACCAGTAGGGTAGGGGGAAAATGTCTATTGGCTAATTATATATACTTGTCAAAGGATTTAACTGATGACGGCGTTACGTTGGAAGTGTGGAGTCAACCTACTTGACGTCGTTTCTTAGTCGGACTCAATATTATGGAAAAGATCTGAACACAGCTGTCTAGAAACTTAGTATAACGTCTGTGTTGAAGAGCTTCCCCGTCCCGTCGGACTATTTGGACTTAATTGCATTAAGTGGTTCGCGTTAAGGCCGCGCCAGACCGGCGAATATAGCTGATTATGAGACATTTTAAGTTTATTAATGGCTGCAGTTACGAGGTTATGAATATCGACTCCTGATGACTCCTGTAGCGTGTCGCGACCGCGACCATGTGGCTCTCACCGGGACCGAAGCACATGCAGATAACTACGAGATGTTTTAGCTGAATTGAGGAAATTATAGGAGTCTAGGGAATACGCGGCTTGTTCGTTTCGTGATCACTGCTCTGCACTTTAGATAATGATGGTTACAAATTAATGTGGGAAGTTATAGAATTATTACGGTTATGGAAGATGAGAAGGTTTATTTTAATTTTATATATACAGGGTGGCCCATCCATCGGTGGACGGAATATTACTCATAAACAAATACGTTTTGGAAAAATCTATTCCAAAATATTGGCAATTATGGGGGGTGTCCCAATTTTGACCTATATATCAAAGTTGTGATTTTTTAAATGGAATGCCTCAAATCTTATTGCATATTTGGATAACCCAATTCAAAAGAAGAAAATTGATACAACATACTATAAGGTTTTGGTAATTAGCTACCGAGATGTAAGGTGTTTTGTCCAGAAAAACCGTCCACTTCGGCAACCTCTCAATCCGCCATTTTGAAATTTGGAGTGCTGAATTTCGTATCCAAAAAAAAATGCACACCCCAGATTTTATCTTATTTGTTACGTTTCGAAATTTTCATTTTTGCTCATACAGGGTGGTCAAAAATGCAAATTGTACTTTTTCTGAAAAGTTTCAAATGCATCACCCTGTGTATTTGTGCAAGTTTGGATTCAAATTTTTATAAGCTTTTTTTGGTATAAGGTTTGATTCAGATAAAGTCGCTAGATTTTGAGCTATTAAGCTTTTAATAGAACAACACAACAAAATTAAGGAAACAAAAGACAAACAGTGAGCTAGTTCCATATTGCCACTAATAGTACAGATTTGGCGTAAAAACTAATAACAATCAGAACAGTATAAATCAGATTCAAGCCGTAATAGAGAAAAACAACTATAACAGCAACATAAAAAAACAACTATCACTACTCAAGACCTAATCTACAAAAACTGCTCGAAAATATCTCCACCATTTTGAATACACAGCCTCAGTCTTTGGATAAATGACCGTTGCACATCCCTCAGCATGTATTCCCTTATGTTCAGAAAAGCATCCTCAATCCTTTCCTTCATGTGTCGTTTATTACCCGTGTCTGGATCAGTTAACGAAAAACCGGCTTCAAATCATTCAAAATAACTACGTTCGGTTTATTTTCACCCTGCGAAGATATGACCACATTAGTGAAAAATATAAAAAACTAAATTGGCTCAGGTTGGGTAGTCTAGTTAAATATAAGTACTTAGTTTTAATTCATAAAATTCTCATAACATCAAAACCTGAATACCTGAGAGGTAAATTACGATTCAACTGTGAAGTGCATGACCGAGCTGTCAGAAATCGCTATAATATCAGACAATTCTGCTTTATTTCAACGTGGTTTTTCGTATAATGCAGCGTTGTTCTACAATCATTTGGAAAAGTGGTTAAAATCAAGTTCATTGCCGAGTTTCCGCGAGCAAGTCAAAAGCAGGCTGCTCGCCATAGGCTAAGACGGTTATGGAATGTTATTTTTATGCTCACATAGGTGTTTATGTTATTTTTTTATATTATTAATTCTTTTGTATTGAACATCTAATGTAACCGACATAAGCAGTGTAAGAGTAACCTTGGCTAAACTTCGCTGCTTATGCCTCTCTTGGTTCCTTGTGTTTAAATAAGGACGTTATTATCATCATTATTATTATTATTATTATTATTATTATTATTATATTTTCCGGGGCAGATGGTGGATATCTACAAACCTCTTGCTTAACGTAGCCCAAGAAGTCCATCGGTGTCATATCTGGTGATCTTGGAGGCCAAGATATAGGCCCATCACGACCGACCCAACGATTGTTACTCCACCTGTCCAAATAGTTACGCACACGATTCTGATAATGCGCAGGTGCGCCGTCATGTTGGAAGTACATATGCATCTGAGTTTGCAGGTTGACGTCATCCAAAAGCAACGGCAAATGCTCGATCAAAAAATCTAAGTTCCATTTATTTTGGAAATCTATTTGCCGAACCCAGTAAGGGTTTTCCGTCGCATAATAGTGCATGTTATGCCTGTTGACAACACCTATGCTGTTAAAAGTTGCCTCATCGCTAAAAAGAACTTTATCCAGGAAAGTAGTGTCTTCACTCACTTTATTCAGCATTATTCTACGAAACTACATTGGAACTGCGAAATTCTGAGGACGAAGGCCTTGACGCAAGCATAGGTGATATGGATGGTACCTATGCTTGTGGACAGAAGTTCTGCATATACTCGTATCAGTTTCTGCTAAAATTTGCCGTGCACTTAAATGGGGATTTTCCTGCAACTTTAATAGACCCTCCAACTGATTCGCCTCATTGGTAACACTTGGATTATTTATATATTTTTTTGCTATATTCCACCGCTCCACTAGATTCAAAACATTCTCGTAGTGCGGAAAATGTTTCCGGCCTTGGATGTCGCATATTAGGGTACCGTTGCTTATACATGCGAGATGCTAGGAAACTATTTCACCATCACCATATTCACCATTTCTCCTTTAGAAAAATTCATTTTCATACACGTTTTTATTATAATGCTCACAGAGCTAATTTTGACAGTTTGTAACTAATCAAGAGTTTATTTGTTTCCAAGGATGATGCGATATTTTAGGGAATTAAGCCGTTCCATAAAAGACGTGCTATTAACCGAAAAAATAGCTGTAAAAACGCTTATGTGACTAGTATCAAAAAAAGCTTATAAAAAATTGAAGCCAAACTTGCGCAAATATACAGGGTGATGCATTTGAAATTTTTGAGAAAAACTATATTTGCGTTTTTGACCACCCTGTATGAGCAAAAATTAAAATTCGAAAAAGTAACAAATAAGATAAAAGCTGAGGTGTGTAAGTTTTTTTGATACAAAATTCAGCACTCCAAATTTCAAAATGTCGGACTGAGGGGTTGCCGAAGTGGGGGTTTTTTCTAGACAAAACACCTAATATCTCAGTAGCTAATTACCAAAACCCCATAGTATGTTATATCAATTTTCTTCTTTTGAATTGAGGCATTATATTAGAAGAATCACAACTTTGATATGTAGGTCGAAATTGGGACACCCTGTTTGAGGGCCAATATTTTAGAAATGTGCCCTCAAATTTCATGTATAACATCACATGAGTAGATTTCCCCAAGTGTATTTGTTTATGAGTAATATTCCGTCCACCCATGGATGGGCCACCCTGTACACCATATCTAGGTAGGTATTATTGACTGATCGCCATTACTTGCAAAAATATATGCTTCTGCATCTGCTTTTATCGTGCTAAAATTTCTTAAATGGGCAAAAAAACAAAACGTCTAATGTAAACACAAGTGGGGCATTCTCCGTGAAGTGGACAGCGAAAAAAAAGTGAGGTTTCAAAATCGTTTAAACATCTAGTAGGTGTGAAAGAGAAAACACGACTTTTTTTTCTCGTGGCACATTTAATTGTGATTTTTCGAAGAGTTGAAAAGAATTTATTATATTGGGATATAAAAAATAGCGTTTTATATAGGGAATTTTCCCTACTTTTTGAAAAAAAAACAATTTCCAAGAAAAACTTGAGGTGCGAAACCGGACATAAGCACTTACTTTGTCGAATCGGAAATAAGAATAGGCGAAGTTGCCAA